GAGCAGAAGGTTTCGGTTTGTCATGAAGTCGATTGAACATGTGTTATGGAGATGAAGTTGTGGTCTTCGCTGGTCTCCGATCAATGAAATGGATGATGATGTTTCACTGTCTTTAAAATGTCGTCAATGCACCTGTCGCGGTGGCATGCGTTGCCGATTGTAACCGAAGCAAGCATGTGAAATAAAGGAGATGCCGCACCTTTCATGGCTGTGTAATTGAAAGGACGTTGTTTTTTTTTTCTTTTTTTTGTTATTTCTTCTTGAAGTTGTGCCTTTTTTTTTTTTTTTTGAATGTCGTTTTGTTGTGTACCTAATTGTTTTCCAGTCCATCTGTGTGATGTGGGAGTCTGGACGGGCGGTGAGTAGGCGAAATGTCAGCAGGCAGGAGAGGGGGGAGGGGAGGGGGTGGCAGGGTCCCTTTTGATTGTCCACGGGGATATCCATTTTTTTGAAGCCTGCGTCGACGGAGGGTGTCACATCGCACTCCCACTCCCCGTCGACGGTTTGCTCCAGGCCATCGTCGTTCGGCGAGATTACTCGTCGCACTTTCATGGAAAGGTCGCTGTCGCATCACTCCCAGCGACCGTCCACCACGCTCAATAAATCACGAGCACAGGCCACTCATCCCCAAACGCATTTCAAGCGCGCACATGGATTGCGAGCACTGTAGTGGACTGCTTTCTCGCCGCGCTCTTGTCTGCCTTTCGCGCGCTGTTGTGCCGTCGCCTGCTCCCGCCGCGCAACTTCGTTAACGACCACTGTCGTCGTCGACCACGTCACCATCTGCCACGCGTGCCGTCTACCATCTCTGTCGTCCGCCAATCGTCTTGGCGCCATTCGTTGTCGTCGCCCCGTCATCACCTGCCGTCGTTCGTCGTCGCCGCCCTTGCCGCCGTCAACGTCCATCCGCCATTCGTCGTTGTCGACCTTTCAATCATTCGTCGTCGCCCTGACCGTCATTCGCCACCCTGTAATCCGTCCGTGTACTCATAGCCGTCCGTTCCATTCTGTCTTCCATTCTCGCCGCCCTGCGATCATCCAGCCACCGCGCGGTGTACTCGTCCGCAAGTTCTGCGAACCACCGACCGCGATCGAAGGCGCTTTTGTCGGATCCGCCATGTCTTCCCGCGGAGGTGGACGGGCGAAGGCTGCCTTGAAGCAGATCGTGGAAGGCGCGACCCCCGCAAAGAAGGGACGTCATCAAGCGAAGAGGCAGAGGAAGGGCGTCCAAGCCGTGGCCGCTGGTAGTGCGCGAGACGTTGTGGAGGAGGCTGTGGTGGAGGAAGAGATGACGAACGACGACGAYGACTTTGAAGATGACGACGATGAACCACTGCCGAGGAAGGCGAGGGTCGGTTCCGCGGGGGGGATTAGAATAAACGAGGGGGGGGAAGGGACACCGACCGCATGGCGCGGCGGTGGCGTTACCGCGGCCAACCAACCAGTCTTCGTCGACGTGGCACGCGACGTGGCGTGCGACGTCGCAAGGAGGGACGTCGCTGGCCGCGCGAAGGAAGGGGCCGCATCGCATGAGACTGCGCAACGTGTGCTTGCGTCAGTGAATCGCCCCCGAACCCCGGCTGCAGACGTGGCGGGGGGTTCCCAAGCAGCGGTTGAAGATGGGACGTCGCGATCTCCCGCGGTGGCGGCGCATGGCGGCGTTGTGGCGGTCCCGTGAGAGGCGGTTGAAGTCCCGAAGGGAGGAGATGGCGCGGCGGGCGGGGAAGACGACGAGGCTCTAGTGCATAGGCTGCGCAGGCAACGAGCGGCGACACATGCGATGGATGCTGCCGCCAAACTTTGGGAGGATGACAACAGATTCTGGAAGACACGCAGGGGAGCGCCGTAGTGAGGATAATCCAAGAAGCGCGCGCGTATCTCGTGGCCGTGGCGCGGGGAGTGCAGCCTCTGACTATTCGACGGAGCATCTCCCTTCCACACAACTCCATCCCCCAACACAAAATCGAGGACGAGTCGGAGCTCAACGCGGCGAAAGAGAGGGCGTTGAAAGTGCAAACAATCTCCTCCAGGGCGATCCACGGTTGGGTCTTCAAGTCGGAGAGCAGGCAAAGGGGGTATCACATGGCATACCAATACGCGTTGAATCACGCTGCCACGGACATCGCTAGAGCAATGTGGTCAGCAAAGGACTGGCGCAGTTTGGTGAGCCCAATGTTGTTCCGCACCACATTGAACGCAGACATGAAGTTGCCTTTGTGGTTCGTGGGTGTGAACATAGTGGACAGGCACGAGGACGATGAGTGCGCGGCTTACCAGGAAGCTTGTGTCCAGCGTCTTGTGCGGGATTTCACAAGCGCAGTTGGCATGGCAGATGCTATGGACGGCGGTCGAGTGTCGTACGAGCGTCTGAAGGGGATGGCAGAGGCGATGAGGTAGTTGCTCGCCGCCACGATGTGGATTATGCGAATGGCGGGGGACGATCCGAGATCGCATTACAACGCTTGGGTTTTCGTTCAACTGACGGCGAAGACGACGCTGCTGGCGTCCATGAACCGTCAGTTCGACGCTCGCCGACACATCACGCAATCCGCGCAGGTCATGACGGACAAGTTGGGGAGACCGCCTCCAACCTTCGCCCCCCCACCTGTGTACATCCCCGATTGGGCGTCTAAGTGCGGGGTCACTTTCTCGCACGACGCCACGTTGGCCTCCCCGATGGAGGCGAAACAGTTGGATTGGCTGGGGACAGGTCCCCCCGAGGACGACGACGACGACGCCGAAGGCGATGACAAAGGCGAGGGGGGGTGACGCGTAGACGACGGTGATGGCGAAGGCGAGGAGGGGATGATGCGCAGGCCCTGTTGAGATGGCAGGTACAAGAGGATGGGGGGAGGGGGTGTTTTAGGGGGGGTTTCTTAGTGAGGCGGGACGCGGGAGGGCTCACGGGGGAGAAAGTGTTTGTGGCATCGTTTATGACTGTGTACGACGACGCCAAAGGCGATGACAAAGGCGAGGGGGGGTGACACGTAGACGACGGTGATGGCGAAGGCGAGGAGGGGATGATGCGCAGGCCCTGTTGAGATGGCAGGTACAAGAGGATGGGGGGAGGGGGCGTTTTAGGGGTATTGCTTTGGGGGGCGGGACGCGGGAGGGCTCACGGGGGAGAAAGGGTTTGTGGCATCGTTTATGATTGTGTTCGGGGCAAGACGCCATGAGCGTGCGGGGTTTGTTTGAGTACTGTGGGAGCGATCGTCGTACAAGTGTTGTTTTCTGGTCATTGATGACTGTGTTCGGGGCAGGACGCCATGTGGAAGTCTTATTGGCAACTTTTTTTTTTTTTCTCTGGATTTCGGCATGCCACTGTTCAAAGGTGGCATGCGTAGTAGAAGGTGTGCATTGGTAGCGCAGCGAAATTTCTTAATGGGTGATGTTCTTTTTTATCTTCGCAACGATGCATGGTCTTATTTTTTCATTCCATCCTCATCACTTTTTTTTTTTTTTTTTTTGGGAAAACGCATGCACGGCGGGTACGGTTTCATCTCTCATTGTCTGTTGAATTTTCGTGGCAACAAAGTTATGCGTCATGTTTCCTGCGTATCGAACGTCCAATCCATCCTTCCGCCTTCCTTTCCTAAAAACAAAAAACAAAAAAATATAATTTATAATACACAAAACAACTGTGTTGCAAACCCATGCAATAGCAGCTCCCTTCAACATAACAACAAGAGAAATGCGGAATGAACTGGGTTTGGCATACAACATTGTGAGCGAAGGAAACTCAAATCTGAGAAAGGGATTCCCCTTAGAATGCGAAAGCATTTCCAGGTACCAGGAACGTTGCATTGTTTCCAATCAAACCCCTCACCCCACCCTCCCCCCGCCCCCCTCTCGCTCGTCGTCCCTCGTCATCATAAGTACTGCACGTTGCACGCATGGAACGTGCAACCCCGTCACGCACACCCGCCATAACGACAATATCCTCAAGCACCAACTATACTACCTGAGCGAACAATAACGCTAACCTGCCCGTACTCCCTGTCCATGGACAAGGAAAAAAAGAAAAAAAAACAAATAAAAAATACAAAAAAGAGACTAAAAACCAAGCGACAGCGCACATAAGCCAATCGTCGGCACTCGATACTGGACAACTAACCGCACCCACCATGCGAGACACGCCGGCCACATCTTGCTCGAAGGACGCTACCACGGCCGGACTGCCATCGTCGACCGCCTCTTGTTGTGGGATGTCCACCTCCACTTCCTCCCGCCACCGGATCTCCTCGGTGCTCCCCCGCTTCCCACAGCTTCATCCCTCAGACTCGTTCCATTCATGGCGGGGTCTCCAACTGCGAACACGGCCAACCTCACTGCGCAATCATCCGCTCCGCCAACGCGTCCCTCAATATCAGCGCGTCCCCCGTCGTAGACTCCATGCACACCGGCCTCAATGGCTGATGCATCCCCAGATCCACTCTACGACGCACGTCGTCTGGACCCACTTCCCACAACAGATTGTCGTCAAACGGGACGCCGGCGTCGATGAGTATGTTGTGGAGGATGCAGACGGCGACGAATTGTTGCGGCAAGCTGTCCATGTTGCACTTGTGGGTGCGGAGGAACAGCCTCCACATCCCCTTCAGTCTGCCAAACGCCCTCTGCACTGCTCCCCTGGCCGTCTTGTGTTTGTTGTCGAAGCGTGCCTCCGTCGGGTGTTGCGCGAGACCGCCGTAAGGGACGACTATGCATTCCGACTGCGGATAACCATTGTTGCCGAGCAAGTAGCCATTAGTCCGCACACCGAAAGGCAGCATCACATGCGGGCGAGTGAAAAGTTGTCCTGACTCCGCGCGCACCCACAAACTCGACAGGTTCAGAATCCTCATGTCATGCACACTCCCCGGATAACCGACGAAGACGTCCAGCATACTCAAGTTCATGTCGACCACCACTTGCGCCTGCACAGAGAATTGACGTCTCCTGTCGCAGTAGTCCTCACCCTTGGCGTTCGCGGATTTGTCGATGTAGATATGTGTGCAGTCGATGCACCCATGGCAGTTTGGAAACCCCTTGTCTGTGAAGGCGCGCAACACGACCGCCTTCTGCAAACTTGTGGGCCATGATATCTTGTCGGGGTAAGCAGTCAGCAACGCCGTCGTGACGTCACGCACCGCCGTGATGCCGGAAGCCCTCTTGATGCCGAAGCTACATGTCCCGCTGTCGTATGTCTCCCCCGTCGCCCACCTGTACAGTGCATACGCAATGATGTGGTCTGGCTGCAAAGGCACCCTGTAGAACGTCACACGGCGTTCAAGGAGTGGGGAAAGAGTCTCCGCGATCTCGCGGAAAACACGAGGCGACATTCGAAGCTTCTCCTTGAAGTAATCATCCGTGGCGTCATCACATTGTCGCAGATCCTCCCACGTGCCGCCGGTTCGCCGCTTCACCCACCACCGTGGAGTCGCCCGTGGAAACCCCCCGCACCCCATCGCGTAGCAGACCTCCARCACCGCGTCGGAAATGGCAGCCACATCCAAGCACTGCCCAGTCGTCGGAAGCGCCATGAGCTTGYGCCGTGCACRAACAGCCGCTTTGAAGTTYGCGTCRYTGCTCGCCATCTKGCAGCRGAAGAGGACGGCATTAACCACCGCAGCAATASCWGTCCTCTCCGCCGTCGTCAAACCACCGCGCCCTGCCCCGCCGTCAACGTCCATCCCAGACGCCGCTTCCGATGACATCACGAGATTCACACTGGACTCCACAAACACCGCCACGTGCAAGATCACAGCGTCGGTGGCTGTGCAATATCTTGGGAGCCACGCACTGACGATGGTCGTCTGCCTTTCCCAGCGCTCACGTTTCGATGTCATCTCCCTTGCCGCCGACGCGTAAATGACCGTGCTCATCGACGACAACCGCAGGGGACAATCGTCACTTATGCGAACGACACGAACGCCAGCCGCAGACGCAACCACGCCTGAAACGTACGTCCTCCACGCGCCGCCGATCGCAAAGCCTGATTTCAAATTTCAAATTTTGAACAGGAGCGCTGCGCGCCATTTCCAAGGGCCCCGGTTTTGTTTTTTTTTCGTTTCCCGCCCTCCTTCCAATTCCCGACGGCCAACAAAGGTGGACCACCGCCGTCCGCACGGACACAACTCGGTGGACCACCGTCAGCCCCACCCCCACGTCCGCTTATGCATATATAAATCGGGGCCGCGGGAGCCCCGAGGAATCGTCCTCGGGGGTCGACTCCGAGGATGAGTGGAACGAAGGCGACAATTTCCTCGGGCGACTCCGAGGAATCGTCCTCGGGGCCCGAGGACACCCTGAGGAGTGTCGAACGAGCCCCAGAGTAATCAATTCTGGCGGGCGTCCTTCTCAGTCATATCTCGTGACCAGTCAGGAAGTCATTCTCCTATATCTCCTGACCAGTCAGGAAGACATTCTCCTGATTCATTCTGTGTAAGGGACGCTGGACCCGTTTTCCAGCAGGTGACGCTCCCCACCAATAAATGGAGCCTCTCCCTGGGTGCTAGAGATGCCTGCTCTTACCAGCAGCACTAGCACTGTAGGGGGGGTGTTTAAAAAAAAAAAAAAAAAGGTTAAGGGTCTAATTAGTGATTTTGGTTTTTGCCTTTTCGTTTTTTGGTTTTCCCGTTTGCTGTTCCGGTCAATTCCGCTGAATTATACCGAACTGCTTGCTGTTCTACTTGGAAGACGCTTACAAGGACTGCTGCAACTCTGGTCTTAGTCCCCCTTGCTGATATGAAGGCGTGGGCGACTTCGGCACGATAGGGTTGTGCTCAGTTCATTCTTGGCAACTGCTGGCAAGCTTCTTCCTTCTTTTTTTTTTTTTGGACAAATGCTCCAGTCTATTCATGGGGAGCAGCACGTGCTTGGAACCGGGCCCAGCATCCCATTTAGAGTTGCACAAGTCATTTGAGATGCCGGAGCCACTACCCGGCTTCGGCAAGCTTCTTCCTCGTCATGATAGAGGAATGTTTTTGTTTCCCGGACGTGGTCGTTTTCCGCTGTCGTTTGAGGCGTGATTGTTAATTGCTGTTWGATTAGGTTCAGGATTTTGGTTCTTGCCTTTTCGTTTTTTGGTTTTCCCGTGTGTGTTTTTTTTTTTTTTTTTTTTTTTTTTTTGAGAAGTCCAGGGTGTTGTAGAGGCCAGTCAGTGTGTGCACAGTGATCACCTGGAACTGTGAGCCATGGGTGTCCAGGAATATGAGACCACCTCCCAACCCATCCTCACGTCAATATTCCTAGCGCACCCTCTATCCCACTATTCTACCTCAGTGTGACTAGAGTTGTGTAGTGAACGCCGATGGGACCTCATCCGCAAACGGGATACTACATGTGTACCCTCCCCCTTTCATTCGAAACGAGGGGCAACGGCCCGTTGGGAAGTACAACGCTACTTTTTGGACTAAATTTCCCATCGCCGCGAGTCCCGCGCGCGGCTTTTTCTTCAACCCGCGCGGCGACCGATCCCTTCTT